ACAACTGAGCAGCTCAAGACTGAAAGGGAGAGCGGGGTCTTCCGAGGGTGGAACGAGGGCAAGATCTTCTTCGCCCCCACTTACAAGTACTCGTGGAACTCCGACACCTACGCCGGCGAGGACGTGGCGTCCAAGAAGAAGAAGAGGAGGACGCCGGCATGGTGAGTGAGCCTTCGCCTTCCGTTCCGACTTCCGACAACAGAAAATGTTCATGTGTGTTTTTTCAGGAAATGTTCAGTGTGCATGCCTGATGGTGACCAAACCCAAAAAAAATTCTGCCTGCAGGTGCGACCGGATCCTCTGGCACGGGGAAGGGATAGTGCAGCTATGCTACATCCGCGGCGAGTCCAAGTTCTCCGACCACCGCCCCGTCTGTGGCGTGTTCATCGTCGAGGCCGCGGTCCCCGACAACAACAACAGGCTTGTCAAGTTCGCGTCAGGCCCCAACATGAAAGTTGGCGCGGAGGAGCTCCTGCTCGCCTCCAAGTAGCAGACATGTAGCAAGTGCATGGAATGCTTGTTCCAGGTACTTGAAACATTGTGTGCAATGCTGAAGTGCTGAGATCAGGAGATGTGCATGCAGGGGAGGCAACTGGAAGGAAGCATGTCCTGAAGAGCTTGGTAATGACTTGGTGGGTGTTGAGTGTTGACCATAGTGTACTGCAAACCAGTCTAGAGACTCAATTAGGCTAACTGAAAATGATCCATTGTTTGTTCATTGTTATTTCAAGAATCAAGATTGTTCCCTTACACACAGGGCCAGAAACCAAAGGGTTCCCAAGAACATAAGTACATGAGTACAGGATTGATGCCATATCTTGATTCTATGGGCTGTGATTCATTTGGTTTAATTTGTGTCAAGGTTGAGGAAACTAGTAGCACAGTCATAATAACTTAACTGATGTTTCTCCATTTCAAAAGAAAAAATGCAGTCATATGCATCTCTGTACTCTGTCCATACATGACTGCCAGCATGTAAATCTATAGAAGCATGAAAGGCTTTCATTTGGTACCAGATCATTGAGCTCTTCAGTGTTCACCAATTGCTGCTACTGTAATGCTCAAATACTACATATCGGTTGGTTTGTTATATTCCACGTTGCGAAACTCATGCTGACTCAAGAAACACATCAATTGTAATTTCATTTAACATAAAACTGGCAATTTCATTTCACAAGGTCGACATAGTCCATAAATAGTTGCATAAACAGCTATATATGGAGTATGATATTGTACTTCCTCTGACATATTCAAATCGCTTAATTGTTGATATCGATGCACAATTTTAAGACCGACGGTTCCTTCGAGCGTGGTCGATCCTCATTCCTTTTTCTCGGCATTCAGTACTGCAGAAAGCGCTTTCTCCCCTGCAGCATCAAGTAATCAAACAGAAGGAAGGAGCAAAATCTCCAACTCCAAGGCTGAGGAAAAATAGAAGTACCCCTCCGTTGTCAAACTTCTCTAGCTTTAACCAAGTTTATAGAGAAAAAATACACAAATATTTACAACATCACACTAGTTTTGTTAGATACACCATGAAATATGTCCTGATGATACTTTTATTTGATATTGTAGATGTTAATATATTTTCTATAAACTTGGTCAAAGTTAGACAAGTTTGACTTAGGACAAACCTAAAACGACTTACAATTTGAAATGGATTGATACCTAAGTGGAGTAGCATTTCTTACAGAGACTGGTAGTAGTAGAAGATTGAACAATATATAAAACGAATATAATTCTTTCTTATGAAAAGTAACCTGAATAAACCTCCTTGCACGAATAGAACATGTCAAAAGTTAAGAATCAACACATGTTCTGATCAAAAGTAAACCTCATTGCATGAATAGACATCACAAAATCTAAGAACCAACATGATTAAAGCGCAAAAGCTGACTTTATCGGTACAAAAGCTAACTTTATCACAGATCAAAGCGCAAAAAGCTAACTTTATCGGTACAAGCCCATGAGTAGCAATCACAGATCAAAAGCTAACTTGATTAAAGGTACAAAACTGAGCATAACAACCAGAAATCAGGGGGAAAAACTATAACTTTATCGATAAATATCTAGCTAGGTACCAAGGCAAAGCCAAGAAACATACTTGTAAATGTAGATGTCAACCTCTGGGCCAAGTGTGCGGTTGCATGAAGCACAATACTGAAGAAAGTGCAGGGGTTGCATCTGCATGCCTGTAGATGGCACTGAACGAACACATATGCCAGTCTCAATGTGGTGACCGTGTGTTTCATCCCTACCTGTTTCTGCCGTCTGAGCAAGATTCTGCGGCATTGAGGGTGTGGTGCTCATTGTGAGTGAGCGGTTTAAGCTTTCTAATGGAATAACATAGTAATGCTTTATTTATAATTTATTAGTTTGTGTGCTTCTCTCTACTTCTCTAGCTATGTCCTTCTTGTCAGGTTGCCTGTCTCACTGTTTTCAGTATAGGAAGTGAGAGAATGGTATGTCCGCGCAGTGCTAGTGAATTAGTGATCCATAAGAGTCAGCAGGCACACTTTTTTTCCTTTTTAAGGGAAAGAGGACATGGTAGGTGCCATTTCTACAGGTTGATTGATGACGCTGAGTCGCTGACATGATGGGACACTAGTCTTCTTCTTGGTAAGCATGGTCATGTTAGCAATGCAGATGCAGTAATGCACACCATAGTAACAGTCAGTAACCAGTTAAACTGCTTTATTTTGCAACACTCAAGTACGATTTTGAAATGTTTGAAGATTAACTGAAGCATATGTCTGAAACTGCGTTAAAAAAAAGCATATGTCTGAAACAGCATGATGATACGTATCGGTGGGAATGCAGAATGACACGTCTTGCAGCAAACAGTCCTAGTCGGCACAGGCATTTGGAGACCATTATAGCCTTGAGGTAGGTTGTATAGTTGAAGAGCTGTACTTTCTGGATCATCTCCCTTCATCAAATTTTCATGGGGATGGGGTGACAACTGACAGGATTTGCCTACATGATCATCACTATGCCTGGTCCAACACACTGTAGTTGATGCGTTGTTTCTTGAAGAGAAGTTATTTGATTTTGTAACTTATGTTGGAAATGACTATTCATTCCAACTTTTGTTAGTTGGTATACTGATTATCAATCTGATAATTGAGAAACCGCAAGTTCTTTTCAATAGGGAGAGAAAGATACAATCTCGCTGTCAACACATAACATCATCATCGATGGCCCTTTTCAGAAGTTACTTTACTCCACTGTTTTGATTTCGTTTTCCTTGTCTTTATCCTACAACAAAACGACGAGGCACTGAGGTTCCAATTCCTCGAGACCACCATTTTACTTACATATGTACTACATACAACGTTGATTGCCCATGTTCATGTCCTCCTATTCAGCATTCGCCAAAGCCAGGAATTGCAAACAAGTGACCATGTTGGTTAAAGATTTATGATCCTAGAATTGTGGGTTGCAGTTGATTTGATTGTTTGTTCCAAGATCAATATTTTAAATTCAAGCTCACAAAATTTGGGTAATTTGTTATCACAAAAGGCGAAAATCTTAAACAATTTGTAAACGTCGGGTAAAAAACGTGCGGTTGAGATGAGACTCACCAGGTAACACTCCCGGGCTCCAGTGAACTCCCTTCCAGGCCGCAGGTCCCACAGATGGAGCAGACGGGATGGAGACCTGCGGCGGCGCCGGGGCCGGCCAATGTTAGCAACCTCGCCGCGTATGCCGCTGTCACGTTCCTCCACCGCCAGGGGCAATCCCTCGTCTTGTAAGCCGCGGGCCCCGATGGGCAGCAGCAGCAGCCCTTGTGCATCGTGGTCGCCCTCCCCGGCGGCGCCTACGAGAGGCTGGACGGCGCGACGCTGTCGTTGGCGGAGCCCGAGTCCGACGCCATCGCTCCGGTGGCGACGAGCCCGGCAGTCAACGGCGTCGAGGAGACGCTGGAGGGCTGCGCTTGGCGAGGGAGGACGGCACGCCGGCTCCCCGTGGAGGGGATATCTTCATTCTCCGATCTTTTTTAAGGAAGCCGAACAGCTGTTCTTCCATGGCCTGTTTAACTTGTACATATAATACTGTCTGTGACTTATCTGATGGCAAATTGGCTTTTAGTATTATCAAAGGTAATCTCTCATGTTTTTCTATCTCAACATCTGCAGGATTTTCAATTTCCGTGCGAAATTAGACTGTTGCTTCATCAGTCATCACGCTGAAACATTATAACGATTATAGACAATCGGAAGTACCAAATTCTCCGAACCAAGGCATACGATCATCACAAGCAGGTACAAGCGCAATCTAGAAAAAGCAGAACATCAGAGAAGCAGAACAGCACACCAACTCTTGCTAAAAGTTTTATAAAATAATACAAGTCTCAACACTTTGAACTGGAAAATGAAGTCTTGAGCCAACATTTCAGCCAATGACAGCAATATATGACACCACACCAGCGATCAATTGGTTGGTGCTAATGAGGTTGGGATGCTAACCATTCCCTTCTCTGGATGGATAAGACCATGCCGATGAATTTGTACCAGCAACAGGTCCAGGCTCCTGCAGCAGCACATTCGTTGCCAGTTTCTTCGCCCTGAATTACCCATGTAGCGAGCTCTCCTGACATTGAAACATCTGGTGCATATCTCCCCCTGCACCAAGAAAACCAATGAACTTTTCGAGTCGGTCATAAGCAAAATCAGGTTGGGAGGGATCTGGAGACAAAAGTGAGAAGCATTTTTCAAGCAGAGCAAAACTCAGGGCATCAATAGATTCATGTGAAGCTAATGTCCATTTCCGAGCCCCCGCTATGATAAATGTTGATTGACAGCAGTCACCAATTGAACGTTATCTTTATGTTTGGATTTCACACTGACAAAACAATATTTTCTAGGTTTGCAGCGGTAATGGACATGAACTGTAAACATTCCAACAAAAACTTAAGAAAATGCTCACATGCATATTTCACAAGGGAAAAGTGAAAAGGTAAGGGGGAAAATGCATGAGTTATTCAGTTCCCTCTAATATTAGAAGTCCAGTGGCATTCCAAACATATCATTGATCTCTGCCATGACATCACGGGTGGTGATTGTGGGCTCAAATAGACCATCCTCAGCATCAAATTTGCAAGAATTCTTCTGATCGGCTTTGCTGGTAGGGTTATCTTTTAGGTCATCATCAGCTAATATGGAGAAACCAGAAGCTGGAGCTGTTTTTCTATCTGACAGTGCATTGGCTTTCCGCTTTGTTCTGTCACCCTTGAAGTTCAGTGGTCTCCCAAACATATTATTTATATCATCCATAGCCTCCTTTAGATTGACAGTTGGATCGACTAACCCATGGTGGCATGCATTTTCCACCTTAGGCTCATCATCAATAGTGGATCCAACAAATCTATGAATGACAATGTCTTCTCCAAGCCCAGAACTCACAGGATGAGAACCTTCATGATATCTTGTTCCTGAATCATCTCGAACTGGACAGAGCAAAGTATTATTATCATTAGTAGGCTGCACAGTTCTAGAATTCACCTTCATACCGCCATCACTTTTCTCACATTGTTCTTCTTCATCATCTGGCAGTATTGCAAATCCTCCAACAAATGGCTTCTGGAAGTCACTTTCGCCTCGATTCTTAGATGAATCACATAATGGTCTTGGAGGAGACCTATTCTTCCTGTGGCATGTGGCATTCTGGACATTGCCATTAGCCTCATTTTCATCAACAAAGATTTCAAACGTGCTTGTTTCCTGATTCAACTTCACGTTTTCCTTATTAGAGTTCTTGTTTTGCCTCACATTTTGGTCGTTGCCATCAGGACTATCCTCATCAACAAAGATCGCAAACCCTCCTGTTTGCTGACTGAATTTCGGATGGTCTTGCTTCATGTTGTTGTTGTGAAGCACATTTGGATTACCTTTAGGTTCATCTTCATCAACAAAGATACCAAATGCACTTGCCTGCTGATCATAATTTGGTTTCTTAGGTTTTGATCGTCTCTTGAGCATTGTCTCAGGTTCCACTGGCTCCAAAAACATGCTATTGATGGCATCCATAGCCTCCTTAGTGTTTATAGTTGGTTCAACTAAGCCATGATGGCAGGCATCTTCAGTTTCTGACTTCCCAATCAATGCAGAGCCTACAAACCGTACAACTACAGTATCATCACTATTACAACGGGGCAAATTCTTTTTAGCTCCTGAGTTGCCTCTGCATAGTATACCCACTTTAGCAGGCCCTAATGGAGGATAACAACCTACTGAGGGATTGGAACTGCTTCTTGACTTTTGCATTGTATTGGATTTCAGTTCTTTACAGTTTCTGCTTTCACCTGCAACATATTTGAAAGTAAGTACGGTAACACGGAACAGATCAACATCTATATTATGCTTCAATTAAATTAGAAAATGTGTTGAGAAAAGAAAGGTTTGAGATAAGGAACCACAAGAAGGATTTTGTTTCTTCATTTTGTGGAAGATTGAATAATAAGATTTTAATGGAGGGAAAAGTGACAAAGACAATATATGGTTACACCAGGAAATGATTTGTATACCCTTTTTTCACAGGCCTACCTTCAACTTGGTTCATCAGTGTAGCACTTGACCCAGCTTTCCTAGGCATTCTTTCCTGCAGCTAAAGTGCACAAATAAAAAAGGAGGTCAACAAACCCAACACTAACCATGATATAAACTGTTGTAATAGATAATTGAGTAGTATACTTTATCTTTCCTCCTCTTGTATGATTCTATGCGAAGAAGAAACTGTTCATGTGCCTTTTGCAACTCTCCAATAGGCTCTGCAAGGCTATTAATCGCTTGAGTAAGTAACCAGCTTTACTCTTAAAGGCACTATGTATTGAGATCTATTTTTTTAACATGGAGCATTAGCAATCCTTCTGCCTTAATTTTTCTCAATTGTTAGGTGTTGTATAACCATGTGCGACTGTTTCTTAATAGAGTCATTCAGGTTGGCCATGAGGCTACATAGTGTATCTCAGAAAAATGATAATATCCAAGGAAAGAGACTAAGTTGTTTTTTTTTAAATAATAACTACTAACTTATTCACAGTAGGTGGTGGGTCTGAGATATGCCTAGTTCCAGATGATGAAAGTACATGCAAGATTCAGCTAATGTGAGTTTTGCTCACACAATAACATAACAATTGTAGTAAAAGGAGATGGTATCAAAAAACAAAATGAGGGTAAAAGGCTTACTTCTGGATTCCCAAACGATACATCTTCTCTGCGTCATTGATCCTCTTGTGCTTCTCATAATACAGAGCATAAGCCATATAAAATGAAGCTCTCTTGAGGCCTATTCCATTCCGCTCCATCTTATTGAGCAATGGTTTCGCATCCGTCACATAGTCCATCTGCATGGTTAATAAATTAAACCCAGTAAGACAATGTCTTATAACATGGGGTTCAAAGCCAAATGGAGCACGGTATATATGGTTGAGCCATTTCCTCAAGAGCACGTGTCTTGTTCCACTGGCACTATGGCACAATCTAGTCTGGAGGAAAAGTTGCAGTGAGCCTATTGCGGTATTGCCGAGAGTTTTCATGACAGCATTCCTGGCGTGATAATGGCGCAATATACACTGTGTGCAAACGAAAAGCTGTGCTGTGCTGTGCTGTGCTGTGGAATCCGTACATCAGACAGAAATAAATGTCCACTGAGCCAGTGCAGAATCAGGAGGCAACTCTGAACCGCCCCCAACATGTCAACTGAACCAGTGCAGATTCAGGAGGCCAGGCCACTCCGCAAAGTGAAAGCCCCCAAAGCCCTGAACCGATGACCCTGCCACAATGAACATTGAAGCGCATGGGGAGAGGAGCATTGACCAGCTGGATCCAGACGCGGAGGTATCGCGGGTCGTCGCGGTAGCGCGCGTCGCCCTGGAACTCCTGGGCGCACTTCTGCAGGAACCTGGGCAGCTTCTCCCACAGCGTGGCCGACGGCAGCGCCCGCTCCATCTTCCGCATCCCCCTAGAAAGCAAATCAACGGCGGAGGAGAAGGGGATCGTCAGTCGATCCGTCATCGGCGCGCAAAACACAGGGACGGAGCTTCACGGAGACGAGAGGGAGGGAGCGGCGGGCGGCGGCGCCGTACCGGAGCCACGGGCGGAGGGGGTCGGACCCGGAGTAGGAGCGGATGTCGTCCACCACCAACGAGAGGAGCTCCTTCTCCTTCTCCTGCTCCGCGGCGGCGGCCATGGCACCGCTCCGATTGGTGGACTCGATCGAGCGGCGGATGTTGCCTGGCTCTGGCCGGCTGTGCCGCCGCCTCCCCCTCCCCAATTCAAATGGATGGAGCCTCCGTCTCTCCCCAGTCTCCACGGCCCACGGGCAACGGACATGGGATGGGCGGGGCCCACCGGTCAGACCCTTCACGGCTTGCCTCTCTGGCGTGCGGGCCCTACCTGTCATTCACCCAGCGCTGGAGCGTCAGTTTCAGAGGCGGAGTTGCAGGAGATCGACGATCCACTGAGCCCTAGACGGACACCGGTGGCCAAGCCTCGATCTGCAGCCCGGCCGCGGGTGGAATCGAGGAGGGGAGAGCAGAGGCGGCGCTCCGGCGAAGCGGATGCCGGCCTGTAGGCCACGCCACCATGACGGTTGACGGGAGCCGCCCCGCCCCCGCCCATCATTCACCTACAGAGTCCAATTCACCTCGGTTCGTCCTCCCCGGCTCCCCCTCTCATGTCCTCCGATCCCGCATTCGATTTTGCTTGCTCATTCTGCCTCGTGTTGAATCGCGCACTTGCTAGTTCCCCAAACTACGCAGGAAACCGATCCGGTTTCGCTCGAAAACATCACTCGAGTTCCCAGATTGCAAAAGCACAGTAGCCATAACAATTAGGATTTCAATCAACAACATACTACTAGAATAGTAGAATTAGATAAACAAGACAGAGAGACCTCAACAGGACACACACCACCACATGCCCAGATGATTATTTGTATGCAAACGTGTTGAATCAAATCTGTTACAAATTACTACATCCCCAACACACCACAACCGCTGCTCTGATGACGATGGCATTACCATACTGCCCAAAACCTAAGCCAAACTCTGCACTAACCCAACAGAGGCTGCGAGCAAATCCGCCATGCCGCTGCCAAACAATAGTGTCTGTTCTGCTGCTGCTGACAACCACTTCCGCTGCTCGGCCTGGGCTTGAGGAGCGATTCTGGATAGGCTACCTAAGAGCTCCCTCATTTCGTTCTTGTGAGACGGTGAATGGAAAATTAGAGATACGTGTTTCTGCCCAAAGGGTCTCGGATGCCGAGCAGATACTTTAACGGCCTGCAGAGATGGAGCTGAGGCTGGCCTGAGGGGCGGTTTAAGAGTTTCCCCTCAACCCCTGAAGTCTTCTGTTCTCTTCCATGTACCATCTCTTCAGTCTCTCTTGAGCAACCGCCACCTGCAGATAAGGGGTTAATTGTTAGAGGTGATTCAACATGTTGTGTACTACCTTTTAGCTATTGTTTGAAGGCTGCAGATAACATTGTTAGTTAGTTAGTTGCAATACTGAGGAAACAGTGAGTCGAGGTAAACCTGTTTATCCCAGTCGGTCTTTAATGTTATGAACAGAAGCACAATAGTTTGGACTAGTGTTCCGAGCAGCATGCCAATCCAAATGCCCTACGATGAACAACCATGGAGAGTAAGGATTTAAAGCCAACATTTTTCTAGAGTTCCACAATGGTAAACACCAAACTCTGTATATCACCTTCACTTGAAATCCCACCACATAGCCCAGGACTGCTCCAAGAGGGATGCCAATCAGGTAGTACGAAGTGACGTTGACATAGGCGACTACGCTTTGCCAGCCTGCGCCGACAGCAACGCCTATAGATTTGATGACGACAATGGTCATTTTAGTGTCAATAAAACAAGGTAGTGGTAGCACATTGTAGCGACCTCTATCATTCAGTAGGTCTTAGGAGAAGGATACCTGATAGCACTGGCTGAACACTGTTCAACAATATGGAGAAGGCTAGCAGAGGCGAAAGGTCGGCAACTGCCTCAGCTACTGCTTGACTATCAGTAAATATGTAGGCAAGGCCTCCACGGAAGAGAAGGAAGAGCACAAACAACACAAATCCGATCGAGAAAGAGGTGATGACCACATTGTAAATGGCAAACTTTGCCCTTCTTGCACTTCCAGCTCCAAGCTCATTTGCCACTCGCACTCTGAAGATATATTGCATTCATATCAAAATCATTGAAAGTAGATATTATATTACTGAATAAAAAATGGTAAAGATAAAGTTATGTACCCCGTTGCAGCCAAAAACCCGAAAGAAATCATCATCTCCCAACCGTTGATGTTGAGGCTGCACATTTCACAAATAGTTATCACACTGTTTAGGGCCTGTTGGATCCACACTGGGTTTCAACTTGCAAAAACCTTTGGCCTGTGGATTTTAAAATCTGGAGCAAAAGCTGGTCCCGTTCGGATCAGCTAGAGCTTTCTACAGGCACAAGCTGATAAAAGCTAGAGAGAGCCAACTTATAGATGGTAAAAGACTATAGAACAAAAGTTGAATTGTTTGGATCCCAAACTGAATTATGGAAGCTATATTCCAAGATCTGGTGAGATGATTCCAAGATCTAGTGAGACGAGATCCAAACAGGATGGGAGTAGCATGGCAGCCAATTATAAGTGGGAGGACAAAAAGTGTACTGAAGAAGTGTGAATAGCAAGCTACTAATTAGGGAAGTGTAGAGTAATGCATATTATTACCATATTGAAAGGGCGTCGAGTGCAACCTCTGCATCCTTCATGTACCCTGTGAGCAGCACCAATATGGTGTTGTACCACAATTCCAAACTGTAAAGGCAAAAGTAGAGCAACGAATATGTGTTACAGGTGTATCAAAACCTTGATAAGATCGATAAAAAAGCTATATATGATACTGTTAGTATCCCTGAAAAATGTACATGCTGCTTACCAGAGCATGACACCAGAAGATATCGAGAGCTTGACGATGGCACCGAGGTCAGCAAACGCGGCCGAGGAGAACCCGGTCCACGTGTGAGGGCAGCCACCGAAGAAGACAAAGGCAAGCTGGCCGAACACGGGGATCCACATGGCGATGACCATGGATCCCATGACCCCCGCCACGCCGAGCTGGAACTTAACGGTCATGAGCCATGACAGGAGGAGGTGGAGGCCGAGGTTGAGCAATGCCAGGTAGGTGATGATGATGTTCTTGCTCTGCGCCTGCAGGTACATCTGGAGCGTGAAGGACCAGACGTAGGAGAACATGACCGGGATGTACCAGAGCGAGATGGTCCCGGCCACCGCGGCGATGTCCGGGTCCTGGCCCAGCGCGACGAGCAGCGGCGCCGTGAAGAGGTAGATCGGGAGCATGACGATGGCGCAGGCGAAGAGGATGATCCAGGACCGCTGCAGGTAGATGCCCAGCATGTGGTACTGCTTCGCGCCGTACGACTGCCCGCACAGCGTCTCCAGTGCACTCGCCATCCCCAGCTGCATTGTGGTTAGTTCGTTACATCGGTAAGATTCATGAAAACGCTCTGTCGATTAATTAAGCTTCTAGTCTAGAGTGGTAATTGTATTTGGTTGGCATATACAAATAGATATCCTGTTGAGGTCATGCTGTTTTCACTCAGCTGTTGATGTATAATGTTTGCCATAATGTTTTCACATGTTTTTTCCCCTTGTTAGCAATGATGCCAGGGTGATGCGCTGCACACCGCACACCAGAGGAGATTGTTCATCTTGGGTACGTAGGAAAAGGAAGTAGTGTTTGAAGCGGCAAGAAAGGAAGTCACAGTCAGGTAACGCAAGTAAAAGCCATTGGAGATCCATGCCTTTTCCACCATGACTTTGGCGAGATGGACCATGACTTGGCAACCACCGATGACGATGACGACGACGACGGGTACGTGCCCGATTCAGTCAACCCCTCGCCAGTTTCTTCAGCGACGCTGCCGAGGGAAGAACGGATCGATTCAGCGTACGTCTCTCTACTGCATTGCACGTGCAAAAAGAAAGAAATTCCTCATTTGGGCGACATACATGTCCCCAGGAACTGATGCAGCAATGTTTGTTCCGCTTCCTTTATTCCCAGCATGGTTAGTTGGTGCCAAACTCGTCGCAGAGTATTAATAATAATAAAAGTCGTTGTTTAATTTTCTCCCTCCTATATTTATACATTTGCCCCTAGAAAAATGGCATACACATACATGTGTATGAAATCAGATGAGAATTTAATTATATATGTATGTTGATGCACGCTGAGATTGTTTTAGCAGGAGATGAAAATCATGTATACGTTTGACGCATGGAATCTTGATTTGCAGATCTAGCTAGCTTGTCGTGTGGCGGTGGCGCTACTACTACTACTGCTAACTGGATGGTCGGATGGATTGGAAGGTGAGCAAGAACGGTGTAATATATAATTAGTTATACCAGGATGCCGTTGCTGAAGCGCATGAGGACGGTGGAGACGAGCGCGTAGGCGGCGAGCTCGGTGGCGCCGATGTGGCCGATGAAGGCCTGGCTGATGACGGTGACGCCGAAGGAGGCGAAGCGCGCGCAGATGGAGGGACCCGCCACCACCCACAGCCGCTTGTTCTCCTCCCACGCGCGCCGCCGCAGCGGCTGCGCCGACCACTCCGCCTCCTCCCGCCGCTGCTCCGCCTCGTCCGCCTTGCCGACCACGACGCCTCCTCCTCCTCCTCCTGTTTCGTTGTGGTGGTGCTCCGCCGCCGCCCGTGGCTCCAGCAGAGGCACCTTCGCCTCAGCACCGCTACTTTGCTCCTCCATACCGTACCGTCGACTCGCCGCCGGGGCCTGCGTGCACGAGCTTTAGGCGGAGGAGGAGGAGAGATAATGCTGTGACACGGGCGCGTGCGACAAGCTCTAATAATCTCTGAGAAGAAGATTAGCCGTGATGATGAGCCGAGCGTTGGTTATTATTATATACTCCTGCACTGCAGTTTAGGCCACGTTCGCTTCTCTTATAATTCGTATTTTTTAGTTTTATTTTTTAACTAAAATAGTATTTTTCTGTCATAATAAATCAAATGTTTTGACTCGTTCTTTCAGCAAAACTAACAGGAGCTAAGCAAGGACCAAGGAGAGGTAGGTGTGGCATAACCAAGGACCAAGGACCAAGGAGAGGTAGGTGTGGCATGCGCGCGGGACCTAAGCAAGGACGAAGGAGAGGTAGGTTAGGCATGCGCGCGTTGTTCTTGTTCATTCACGCCCGGCCGGCAAGGACGAGAGTGCCCTCGCAGGCGTGGCAGCAGCTGCGTTGGGAGGGAGGGGTACGACGGGCACATGCTCGTGTCTCGTGTGGTACTAGTGCACTGCACTCGTCGCGCTAGATGCATGGCTCGACAACCATCACCCCATCCTGTGGCCTCCACGAGGCCACGCACGTAGTACCGTCTGCCTTGGGTTCTCCTTTTCCTGGCTAGCGTTTTTCCAGAACGTACAGCTGCAAAAGTGGAAAATATATATATATATATATATATATATATATATATATATATATATATATATATAAAAAGTGAGTGAATTTCTTTGAGAAAAAAAGTGGAGATCGGGTGGAGCTTGCATCCCGGGCGGCAGTTGCAGCACTGCAGTCTGCAGCCGACCTTATTACCTTACCCAGCATGAAGGAAAGGAAGGCAAGGTAACCGGCCGGCGCGGCGGCCATGATGGTCTGGAAGGCAGCAGCTGCTTGCGCCGTCTCTCTCTCTCTATCTCTCTGGCTGGCAGCGGCGAGCAGTAATGGAGCGGTGGGGGCACTGAACAGCAGGCAGCAGGCCTGCAACTGCAAATCGATCAGGTGATCAGCCCGGCCAACTCCATGTGGCTTTCTGCGCACTGTTGATGGACTTATAAAGTTCGTATTTTTCGGTTAATAAACAATATTTTTCTTACGGAAAATTAATGGCATTATTTTTAATGCGACTGACATGGTACCAAACGAACGCAAGCAATGCCCATGCTGCTGTCCTGCTGTCGCTGCTGCCACGGGTAGAGGTAGCCCACAACGCAAGCAACGGACGACGGACGGTCGGGCAGGACCGAATTCAATGTGCAAATAATATTGCTTTACAACACGCAGCAGCAACGGCACCGTTCGGCTCGCTGAAATTTAGCTAAAATTGATTGAAAAATGTTATTACTATTGAATTGTTGTGAAAGAAAAATACCATTATAAATTGAAAAATATAAGCTAAATAGTATCGTTTTAAGGTAAGTTGAACGAGGCTGTTGCATACATGCATTATTTGCATTCTATATTCATGCAAGCACACATATGGCTCTGTTAGAACTACCTTATATTTGTTTCGGTTTTTTTTTTTTTAGATGGAATAAGTTTTTTTTTCACAATATTTCAAAGAACAATGTGATTTTTCACCACTTTCACCAAGTTTTAGTACGCGAGAAGGAGACCAATGCATGTGAATGTGTTTTAATTTTCCCACGGTTCCCATGAGTAGTAGTACCTTTACTGATAGAGCTATACAGAAAATGTTTGATAATAAAATAAAATAGTTTTTTTATAATACATTTAGCAGAGGGAGCTGGGAGAAACTGAATGGTGGCCGTACGTACGGTTAGTTGTCTGCTGCGTGCAACTGGCCGCCCGGAGGCGCCGGTCGTCGAGGTATGCGTATACGTACATAGCCAAGACAGCTAGCCACCTATAGTAGCCCCGTACGTTGCCCACTGCATGTACAACGTCGCCTGGCCGTACGTACACGGTACACATACAATTGCACGACGCGCCATACAACTGCAAAAGCCGGATATCGCAGGAACAGAGTGGAGTAAAAACTGAAAAACTACAGGATTCTTAAACACGGGAATTAATACTTTTGAGCTGTTTGGATCCTGGAAATATGGTTGAATCATCACATGTCCCTAAACAATAAATTAGTTCTAACCATTGTTGCATTCTAAAGTGATTATTCAGGATATATAGGTTGTCTCGCATATCTAATTATTATTTAATTCATTAACTACATCGATCTTTTATTTTAGCAGATGTACTCTCTGTTCATTAACGACACCATGTTCGTTTGATCGTATCAGTCATGATACAATATTTTTCTCTTACAATAAAACAGTGTCAGTCGGCTTATAATCCACAGAAACGATCTAAGCGAACAGGGTGTACATCCATTCTCTCTTGTGGACGTTCTTATCTTCTTATCTGCTCTCACTATACAAGGCAGGAAGAGCGCATGTAGCCGTGATAAGCGCTAGCGTGATTTCCATTGGTTCTGACCTGATGCTTTTTTTCCTATGAAATGCAGGTAGCTCGTTTCCTTTCCTCCGGGCGAAAATCTCCTTTCCTTGTTCCAAACGCACCCACGTATTTCCTTTCCTTAGGAACGGCACCTACAAAAATTTCGTAAAATCCTACAATCCAAATGCACCCCAATATGGGCTTGTTGCCTACACTATAGTGATTGATTGGTTGCTTTGGTGATGGGGAGCCGGATAGAGAGTCTGGTCCAGATGCATGCTCAAACCCGTACACTTGTTTGGTTGTTTTTGTTGTTGGTCCATTACGAGAAGAGATCTTGTTTTGTTACATGCATAGATGAGAGTTTTGAGTGTATGACACATGGGCCCCTGTACCATGAGTGCATCATGTCGTCCTGTATCGCGAGGGAAGTGGGAAATCGAGAAGACGGAGCGACGCGGGATGGAGGGGTGGAGGTGAATGAGATAGAGTAGGAAAAAAGATGCGAGGCAGGCATCAAACACGGTCAAATGCACCGAGCGGTGTTGGGATGAGGCTCAGGACAACCTTGCGCGTGCAACAATCACTCCCTATCTAAGCCTGGTTAGCATCTAGTTGTATTTGGTTCCTCTTCTTTACGCAGTACTGGGCAATTCGTCTAACACATGGTGAGTGCCACGTCTCTGTGAATCGGAGCACGGGAGATGCCCGACGCGAATCGAAGCAGGGGACGAGCCTCGTGCTTGCCGAGGGAGAGGGAGGGGAGTGGGGGCTCGCCGGCGAGGTGGCCCAAATCCGTCCGGGACCACAACGCCAAACACGGCTCACACGAACGGAACGGCGCTACACTCCAGCGCCTCGGCATCTTGCTTGTGGCGGCGGTGCCCCAACCTTTGCAAAGCCCAAGTTGGAAAGGAACCCATCGAAATCGGCCCTCTTCCCATCGATTATCTTCCTAAGAACCACAAATTGCGCGAACTGTCGGGTAGCCATACCAAATTCTTTACCTTTCTGCCTGCAAGCATCCTCTAGCATGGTTGTGGGCGAAGGCGTCGAACGCAATGCAGAGAAGGAGCTCCAGCCGCTGCTGCGGGTTGGCGCCATTGCTGTGATCCTAGTGGAGCAGCGGGGGGTGTTTGCCTCCCCACCGCTTGGGCTTGAAGCACCTGGTGAATGACTTGAGGGGCTTGTGGAGGAAGTTGGTGACGACGACATGGAGGTGGAGCAGGCAGTCGCCCTCGGGTTCCTCCTGCTGCTTTTGTGCTGCTTGGGGTTGGGATTGGGACTGGAATTAGATCCGGGGACATAGATGACGGGAAGGTGAAGGTGCGCGATGGCTCCGCAGAAGAAGTCAACGACGACGGCGATGATGGGGTCGGGCTGCGTTTTTAACCCAGAGGTGGCTCAAACATCGTATACGTGGATTATTTATTGTTGGAGAGGGTGTGAGAAAACGAGTGCTTCCGCCTTCGATCGTTCGATCAAACGAATGTTCTAAAAGTCACGTGAGGTGAGGCGACCGGACAGGAGCGCTAGCCAGGGCCTGGCTCCAGAAAAACGATCACTCCAGCGTTCTTTCCAAGCCAGGCTAAGAGGTCTAAGGTGGCTCCCCAAAGCCAGGCTACAATCCATTTTACAACCAACATGTTCGCTTTGCTGAAAAGATAAACCGAAATACTGTTTCGACTAATTTGTTATGAGAGAAAAATACTATTCCAACTAAAACAAATAAATTATAAAAGAAACGAACAACACCCAGCTAAACAAGCCTATCTTAGCTCCAAAGAGCCAGCCCAGGAGATAGCCACCGAACCGAACACGCCGTGTATACCAGCACCAAGGCACCTATGCATGCACTCGATTCGTGGCCCCGGCGTCTGGCGGCCCGTGGAACACGCCGGCGGCCGGGGAGAATTATTCCTCCCGCTAGATCCACAAATCCTGCAGGTTGCAGGTACCACGCACATGGAGACAGATGGGCGCTTGTCTTCTCTTCTCACTTTTTTTTTTTTGACAACAAACAAATTTTATTTCAACAGCATCTAGCTGTTAAGATTGTTAGAGTTTATGGCTACTGATTGTAATGCAGCCATTGGTGGACATTGAGATCCATGAGCACTGTTGGAACAGGTAGGAGATAAGTTCAGAGTGGTGGACTCCTGAGTCTAAAACAGCTTGTCTGGCTAATTTGTTTATTATAAAAAAATATTATTCGTGCTTACTAACCCCCAACACGTGAATCCGGCCCGGCTTCCAGTAGTACTAGTACCTAGACTAGACGTGACACGCTTAGCCATTTGTCCGTGCCTGTCAATTCGTCTTCATATTATTACTTCAGACGTATGCTGCTCTCTCTCCCAAAATAAATAGATTTTAAATCAAACTTTTTAAATTTTAACTGAATTTCTAAAAAACGTTAAGATTTATAGTATCAAATTAGTATTATTAAATTTATCATAGAATAGAATACATTCTCATAAGATGTTCATTTTATATCATAAATGTTATTGCTCTTTTCTATAAAATTTATTAAAATTAAAAAAAATTTGACCAACGCGGATTCTATGAATTGATTTATTTGGGAACGGAGAGAGTACTTTCTCGCCATCCCAGATAGATTGTTTATGTAATTATTACTTGTTACAATCAATCATCATCATTCACCCAGTCTTAAACGGAGCTAATTAGGCTAGACATGCATGAATGCCTAGGAACTCCTCCCTCCGTCCAGAAAAACATACAATTCTAACACAGTGTTATGGTTTAATATCTCAAGTTTAATTAATTATAGATAAAAAAATATCAATATTTATGATATCAAATACATACCATTAGATTAATTACAAAATTTATTTTCCTAATAAATTAATTTGGAACCATAAATGTAAATAGTATTCACTAGAAATTTGATAAAACATAGACTACTTTTACCGGCACGTAATCCATAGTTACATATTTTCTTGAACAGAGGAGTAGTAGTCTGATTTTCATTTCGACAGCTATAAGTCGGGCGACTTGGCGTTTTCATGCTGCCACCTCGGCCCACACGCAGCTAAGTAGCAGGGTTTCCCATTACTGTAAACTAATCCTACAACGCCAACTCATATAATCCCTATAATAATATGATGAAACTTGCACCGAAAGCAGGCCAGCGGATCCACCCACATAGCTCGTTAATTAACCCATCATTAACCGTAGGAGCCGACGGACTCGCAATATCAACCGATTGATCGGGATCTTCGCGGATCTATCGCCCATTAAGGCATTATCGGACGGTCACGAAAGCTCACGAACCTGCTCTCGTCCCATTCATCTATGGACCTAGAAGTTCAATCTAAGAGCCAAACGAATGAATATTGAAAATTTAACTTTTAGGATTGATGAACCTAACTATAACCCACTTATAAGTTATTGGACCTCTCGTACATTGAACTCTTGTATAGAAGAGATCAGACATTTTTATATAAAAAAAAGAGATCAGACGTGGATAAGATGATTATATATTTTTTTTAAAAAGAGATGGTTTTTATGATCCACTCGTATATTATTTAGCCTGTTCGGGAGACCGTATCGTATCGTGAATTATTTACTGCTGACTGGTTTGATGTGAAAAAAAAATACTATTCTCGACTGGAAATTTACGATCATTTACGAGCAAGCGAACAGGCTGCGTACATGTCCTTGCCTGCTCATGACGAGGGAACAGCACGCAACAAGCCAAAACAAGCCAACTTGGCTGCCCCGTCCGGCCCGGCATCCGATGGATCCGTGTAACACGACACCACCCCCCGTAAGTCGCCGTCGGTCACGCTTTGGCCTCTTGCGTGCTGGATGCTGTACTGTAGCACGTGGAGATGCCAAGAGTATTATTGGATCGAGATCGGAGTCTCTCGATTCTTAATTATTATTACTTTATCTATATGGCCCTGTTCGTTTGTCTTAAAAATGGTTTGTTCGGCTTCTTTTTTTAGCCGGAACAGTGTTTTTCTCTCACAACAATTCAGCCGGAACAGTGTTTTCCAGCCAGTTTCAGCCAAATTTCAGACGAGCGAACGGGGCCATTATATCTCTACCTCGTTCGGCTAAGTACTGTGTACTAATTTATCCTGGCTGGTTTTAACTGATTCAATAATGTTCTGTGAGAGAGAATAAGATGAAATAAGCTGAGACAAGCCGAGTCGAACACGCTGACTATCTATAGTTATTGAGGAGCCTTATTTTGATACATATACACATGAACATTATGTATTATGGCTAATCCATCGTACCCAGCAGTGGTGCTCATCCTACATCACTTTATTTTCATTTCAGTCCGTACAGTTCTCTCTCCGGCTTTCTGACAGCCATCACATGGACGCCGCCGGTACGGAATTACGGTTACACGATGGCGTACGTGATACTCCGCATGACTGGTTGGCGACAGCGACGACGAGGGACCAATAATAATCAAACTCCATCTATCATCCGATCACGTTCACCAAAGGCCAGTCTCAGTAAAATTTTCGTTAGTTAGTTTCGTGGACATTAAATAAACTAACATGGTATAATATAAATAAAGATAGAGATAAAAAAAAGTTTCATGAGATGAAACGAGTTTTTTGTCTAGACCCACTTACAGACATATACATGAGCGCACACTCACCCCTATGAACGCATCCACCCACATCTATCTCTATGAGCATATCCGAAGAACTGAGCTAGACTAGCAAATCTTGAGATTGATGAAGTCACCACAGGAGTCTTGCTGTCGACGGGAACGTAGCCTACCACTAGAAAAAAAACGTCGTTAAATCCTGGAACAAAACCAGGAAAATGCGAGCACATATTAGGATGAAACTTGTTTATACTGTTTCCAACGCCAGGAAGTCTTGAAAGCATGGACATAAAACTTTCATTAAGACCAACCTAACGATCGATGGATCGATGACTTGTTTTGTCAGCGTCACGGGCAACAAAGACCCTTGAATTTGCCCCGATTTCACAAGAAAAACAAATGGATCCGTCGGGACTGCCAATTTATTACTGAACTCAGAACAAACTGTGAAGTGCCTTCAAAACCTCGGAGTTAAATGCAGGACCGATCTCTAGCTAAACGACGTCTTTTATAGCGACTACAGGAGTCGGTCGGTATAATGTTTTAGCAACCTTGACCGTCCATCGCTATAGTGAGTTTTAGCGACTCCAATGCAGCCGCTGCTTTAGAGCTGTGGTGTAGTTAGGTCTATAAATTTTAAGAATGTATTTTTAGTTCTCTAAACTTGTTTAAGGGATGCATTGCACCATTGGTCTATTTCTTTGCAGTGCGGACGGAGTACCCATTGAAAGTGTCTGTTTTTTACTGAATAAAACGAATGGTCAAATAAGAAGTCTAAAAATAAAAAATGACACGGCCCCATTTGCTTCACTGAAAAAACAAGCCGAAACACTGTTTCAGCTAATTTGTTGTGAGAAAAATATTATTCTGACTAAAAACATAAGTTGAAAATGATGGATTATAAGAGAAACGAACAGGACCGAAGGACGTCATCGTGTGGTTTGTTTTCAGCTAGCAACCAGCTAATACAGCATGTGTGTGGTCGTGTGCCGTGCCGTGTGTGCATGTTATCACTTTACCCGCAATAGCCGCCGGCCGTCTCGTCACACAGCACCTCTTTTCAACAAAAAAAAAAGTGACAGCACCTGCATGCTGGTGGCATCTACTGTAGCTAGGTAGCCGTTGCGTGTAGCACGCCATACACACGCTTTGCTTGCGTACGAGTGGTTCCTACACCTCCGCCGGCGGCGGCGACCGGCCAGCCAGCTGCTGCAGAGAGATGGGGCCGCAGATGCTCGTGGCGCCGGCGGCGGCGCCGGAGTCCGACGACGACGTCCAGGACCAGTTGGCGACGAGGGCGTCGGCGGCCTCCGTGGGGCTGTAGAGGTCCCACCACACGTGGCGCTCCGGCGTGGCGCACGCCATCTCCTTGCTGACGCACCCCACCGTCGCCCTCAAGGGGCCCAGCCCGCAGCACGCCTCCATCGTCTCCTCCAATCCTATACATATCATCATAGCACACCAGCATCATGGCACAAAGTATTAAAGTAAGTACGTACCTAACAAGCTATTGACTCCAATTAATTTGCCAATCATTCGACTTTAGTGATCACACATATACACATGAGGTAAGCTTTAGTGTTCTCCTATATGTCATTGTCAGACATGAGGGTCTGAATTTTTATTATTGTTCCGGTAACAATATGCAATTTTGTCATTATTTGGTTATAGAAAAAAAAAGCTTGTCTCGTATATATGAGTTGTCCTTAGGCATTTAATAGTTGTGCTAAAAATTAGCTCAAATTTGATGAGGTTGGGTAACTAGTCGGCTGACAAATAGTTGAAGGCTTAGTTAAAAAACTAGCTAGCCCACCTATTATCCCTCCTATTTGATGCAACTGAGCTAATTTTTAGCTTGCTAGTAATTAGCTCTTGTATCCAAACATGCCCTAATTGTACTGGCTAGTTGGTGTAAGTTTTTTTGCCTAAAAATTCAATCACCTAAAATATAGCCATTCTTCACGATTACACATATATAGTAATATATTAGCATATATTAATGCATGTATCTCAGATGCAAAGAAGATCAGATGGACATCCGTTGCTTTCCTGATTGAAGAAGGCAGCTGGAGAATACTGTAATCGACAACCAGAGCCAGCCAGCCAGCCAGCGTTAAGCATCTGCATCTCCTCATCACATCATTTTCAGCGCAACGCAAGCGATGAGGGAATCGCTGCACTCCGATCCCTTCGTTATCACGCCGTAGACCCCGGCCGATCGGCAGGCACACACCGCCCGTGAGTATCACACATGCATG